TTTGCCTCAATACGCTATTTTCTGTAGTTGAACATATTTCAGGCATTCACTAAACCTGGGCTTTATTAAACATGTAACTGTAAGAACAGGGCTACCGTTTTGACGCTGTCTTCTGGTAAGGAACTGGAGCCCTGAGCACCGGCACCGCTGGGATGCAACACACAGCAAACGTGACCTAATCACACGAGCCCTGTGCTCGCTGCCCACAGCAAATCCAGATCAGAGCAGGCGCTCCCGAGCTTGCTTGCATGGGTTCAAATGAAGTCACGGCAGCAGCTGACCACAAAACGTTAGAATGTTTCCTAGGCATATGGAAGACCACGTTAATAATTTACTCTTCTAAGCAGCAGTGTGGAAATCCCCATATGCTCTATGCCAACAAGTACGATGCTCACTATATTCAATCCTGTGAAAATTATTCTGCATTAGACACCAAGCAGAAGGCAGAGGGAGGCTCAAAAGAGAAAAGGCTCCTCTCTCCAGACTCTTCTGCTGCACAATTTTCGGGATTTTGTCCTGGTTCCCAACAGTTTATGGCGCTCCCTCTGAATTTCCATGTTTTTCACGTCTTAAATTCCTGACTGCTAATCTTGTCTGAAAGTCTGTATTTCCCAGTTCCTTCAGCTCGTACTGCAGCCAGGAAGCTCACTGATCAGCCCTAACCACTGCAGTATGCACAGGCTGTCCCCATGCTCCATTTACTCTCTTTTACCCACAGTGATACTCAATGAAAGCACCAAGGGAGGGCGGCAGTTCTCTCAGAGATGGTGAAATTAGTCCCAAATCAGGCTTCCTGCATACACTTAAGGATGCCCCTGGCCAGACGCCCCGGAGCTCCTCTTCCAGCAGATCTCCATGAAGTCTCACGGCAGCAGCCAGCAGGGCTGCAAGCTGCTCCTGTGCCAGTGGCCCTGGCTGTTTCAGTGTGCACGTGGCTGCATGCCCACCGTGCACACACTGGGTACCTGCCCCCACACCACAGCTTCCCCTCACTACTGCCCAGCCGCGCTGCCAACCTCAGCACCTGCTAGTAAGTCACCTACAGCAAGGTCATGACAAACCACCCTCTGCGTAGCCCTCCGGAGATACTGTCGCAATAACGCTTGACGCCAGCCCCAGAGGAAGGGCCAGACAACGTTCTGGAAGGGCTAAGGGTCTGTTGCGTTGTGACTGGAAATATCTATAATTAATTTTGCTGCGCAAGCAGATCCTTACACTGGATGATCTGCAGTGCTACAGGCACCAAACTGCCTCCCTGTAGCTCAGGATAAAATTCCTTATTTTAACGGATGAAAAGACCTGCAGGGCTCTGTGCTCCATGATGGTTATTGCAGGAAACGTATCTATGAGAGGCTCGCAAACATTTAGTCTGAATACCACAAAGAGCGTGTTTTATCAAGAAAGATGATTTAAGTAAGCAGAAATAGTCTTAAAAGATTGTGGGGCTTTTAAATGTCTGTCTCCAGGTGAATTAGTAATATGGGAGTAGAAATGAATTGTAACTCCAAGGCCACAGCGAGGCGACTCATGACAGAAGGGTAGATTGACTGCCGCTTGCTCCTTGGCTGTTCACGGATGCACCGCAGACCTTCCCCAAACTGCTCTCAGGTGAATTGCACAGAAGGCTCCTCCTGCCACACTGTCCCGCCGCACAGCGCCGAATCCGCCAGCAGCTTTACTTACAGCAGTCACTGCTTCGATTGCATCCATCCGAATTTGAGAGAACATTTGCAACAGCCACTATGACAACACTGAGGCAGCAAGGGTATTTAAATCAAATCTCAGCGTATGTTATTTGCATCACTGTGTTCAGAGATCCAACATTTATTCCTGTCCAAATGCAAAGACCTGAGCTAATGGGATGTATACTAACACAATTTGCAATTTTTATTTTGCTCAAATCTAAAACAAGTAGTAGGAATTTTTCTACACTATATTAAACCAATATGATAAATATTAAGTGAAGCTTTTAAATGAGCTGTAATACTTACAGAAGAAATCATAAAATTAGATTATTCTAATAGGTCCTTCTGAGATCTTCTTAACTCTCAACTTTAAAGAGGCTGCTTTACAAGTCACTATAAGAGACATTTCTGTTTATGTTAAAAAAAATTCAAGACTATCTCAAGCAAACATATTTTTGCCTTAAGTAAAAAGAAATTAATTTTTACTGTTCTATGTATGTCTTGCAGACATACACTTTTAAAACAAAATAGTTTTAATCAAAACAGGAAAAATAACGTTTCTTGCATGTGCAAAAGAGTCACAGCACCATAATCTTAATAAGTACTTGCCACACAGAGGTCTTGCACTCTGAAAGCTGCAATTCCTTTCAGGTACTTAGCAAGAAATGTAATGGTCACAACATTTGCTGTAACACTAAGTCAAAAGCAAGTGAGCCCTGCAAGTGTTCTGAGGCCACAGCCTTGCTTGGGGAAAGAATTTTTATGCGTTTCTGGAAGCAATAAAGAAATCTAAAGTACAGTTTTAAAAACTGTGATTTACTAAGTCATAAAACTTACCAATACCCTTAACAGATAATTCATATATACACCTTCAAACTGCGCAACAGATTTTTTTTTTTTTAAAGAAATGAAACAGTTGCTAGTTTTCCTTCAGTCTGGATTCTACAGCAAAGACAGGAAAACACCATTTTCTAAGACTTCAAAACCAAAAAGAGATGGAACATATTAGAAAGTAAAGTGACTTATTAATTCTGTAAAAATCTTGAATTTTCACATCCCAGGACAATCCCTTTCTAACTGGAGTTCATAAGCTGTCAGACTTGACAAAGTGTGGGTGGGAAAGGGCAAACTGCCATAATCTTGTTATTTTATTAGTGAGAGTCAGGTAAATCTTACATTGGTGCTATCTTGTGTATGGTAGAAACAACAATGAACAAAGGTTCACCCAGAGGCAGTGAGATGTGGAAAGGCACCCCCTCCAAGGAAGCCACTGCCTGGCATCAAACAAGAACCAAAGAGAGAAAGTGCATCTTGCCTTAAAATGTTAACAAACCATCTAGTCATTCCTTGGGCTGAAATCCCTTTATGCACTTGAGTAGCCCTAGGAATTTCCAAAGGGTCACCCGTATCCTCAAAGTGAGGGTCAGTATAGCACATACCAATATGTAGAATTGGTACCAATTTGATTAAAGTCCAGTTATATTTGATTAACAGAAAACCACACTCCTGTTATTTGGGTTTCAGCCTTTTAAAATGTGCTGTTTTAATGAGAGATTGGAAAGAGAGGCATCTTTCTGCTAAGGTTAATATCTGGAAGTTCATCTCACTTGTGAAACAAGAAAAGTACTTGAGTGGCCAAATGGCAAATGTCTACAAATAAGATTTAGCTAGGATAATAATTATTTTCCTTTTATTATTATTATTATTTGTTTGCTCTTAGCCAGAAGTTAATTTAAATAGTCTTTTGAGGTTTCAATATCAGTTATATGTTGATGAAGTACAGACAGGTATGATCAGAAATTAAAAAAAAAAAGAGAAAAAGAGACAAAAATTGACCATTTGCAAAGTTTGAACACAATAGCAGGTTTCCTGTCACTGTTGGTAAAGGTTTTCTTCTCTTACTAAACCTCAAAATAGCAATTAGACTTGACATGAAGTATTATGGCTATAGGCATACAATTAAAAACATATATTTCTCATTCTAATTAAATAGCAATTTCAATAACATTTTTTCCAGGGATCAATTTGGATGACACTAGGTAGACAGTCCTACTAAAAATGCTCAAACAGAAAAGTTTACTATTTTTAATTATTTTAATTAAAACCTGAAAAGCTCCTGCCTTTTAAAATTTATTTTTTTCTTAATCATTCTTAAATTTTCCATTACAGTAGCCTTACTTTGCATATATATACATATATTATATATATGTGTGTATATATATATATACAAAAAAAAAAAAAAAAACCTAATGGAATTAAATGCGTTCAAAAGTTATATAGGAATCTGACCTAAATCCACTAGAATACAAGACAGTCTTAAAGGTTAAAAAGGGATACAGTAGAAGCTCAGTGAAGCTTCCCTTCCACTCCATACACTTACACTTGAGTATTTTCACAAATCTATCTAAATTCTAAACTAGTTTATACTTTAGTACACTTTTAAAAGATTTTAGAAAATCTTGTAAAAAAAAAAGTATGCTAGAAATAATCTGTAGACATGGGGAAGAACTGTAATTTCTAAGACATATCTTTCTGGTTAGTATGAAGCATTAAGTAGGACAATATCAAAAGTCATTTACTGGTTTTATGTAAAATACCTGTTATAATTATTGATAACCAGTCTGTCATTCAGAAAGTTTCTTTCTGTTTATCTTAAGACAGTGGTTTTGATCACTTTGCTCAATAATTTAAAAGGTAACTTCCACTTTTGAAAATCTCAGTGTTTATCTTATTGTTTTTCTTCTCATCTTCCACATGTATTTACTTAATCTTAAATCAATTCACTGATCAAAAGAAGGAATGCAGCAGGAGAATAGGGATACCAGTCAGAAGGGAAAGCCTTAGTTTCTCAGTTGTTCCTTCAGTCTCACTCTGCTTCATTTGACAAAAGACGAAGGGCATCTTGCTTTCTACACAAACAGCAAAACTACTACTTAAACCCCAAGCAGTCTACTTTTTTATTATTTTTTATGTAGCCAAGTGTGCCTCGTAGCATGCAAGTCTCATCAAATGCTTGCCATCTAGTGGAGAATTTTGAACAGCAATCATACATTTTAATCAGCAATATTAAAGAACACAAATATTCTCATATACTCTGTAGTAAAACACCGCGAGTGCTGTCATTCATTTATAAGTAAATTTCTACTACAGAAACATAGAAACATCTGCCTAGATGATTTACCCAATGCAAGAAGAACCACTCAGTAAAGAGTTGCTTACTTTTACCCGTCTCCACCAGCCTTCCAGACGTATCTCCAACTAATAAAATGTGTTCAATTTGCTTTTTACCAGTTTTAGAGGCTATAATGAAGTTACCTGTCGTTAATGATCCAGTTCAGGCAGAGATTGAGAGAATTAAGGTTTTTGCATCTCTTTACTATTTCCATCACGGTTTCGTTATCCAGTTCTGTGATATGACGTAGATCCAAGCTGGAAAGATTTCTTAGCTATTGAGACAAATATGATAGAAAGAAATAATCTGAAATTTATTCACATACATAACTTACAATTTTAAAAAACTTTTTGTAATCATGTATAATAGGAAAGCTAGCCGGAAAAATGAAGTTACTGTATTTTCTACAAAAAGAAAACGTTTGAGATATTCATACAATCTGAAATTTAGTATCTAAAATCTATACCTAAATTTGGAGTTCAGGCAGACTCTCATTTATTCCATGAAATCAGATTTCTCTTTCAGATAGGTCTCTGTCACCGATAATAGGGGTACAGGCCTTTTTTATTTTACATCAAGGAGTGTAAGATTACAACTTTTGTACCTCAACAGGAATTATTTAATTAAAATAAAGGGGGGGGGGAGAGTAGGAAGATGGAAAACACATTTACACACAAACTCAAATATATCTCATTAAAAATCCCAGAAAGCTAAGACATCACAAAACTGAATAACCATTACAACATTTCCAGATATTGCAGCACTTATAATCTATTCTTATCTGTACAGCCAACAATCACAACTTGGAAATTCAGAATAACTAAATGTGAAGTAGCAGAAGAATATGACTTATGATCTGTGTATTAGGTAGCTAATATTAATCCAGTTTATTATCATTGTTCATAATTGCAATGGTCTTCAAAAGCAAACAAAGCTCTCTACTTTTATGAACCACAGAAGGAGATAAATTTGAGGTCAATATTTACAATTTCTGCAGCATCTTCAAACAATGGATCAGTTTAGTCATAGTAACTTTAAGTGTTGTTTGCTTTTTAAGCTGTCTGAAATAATCTCTCTTACACTCTGGAACAAATAATTGCATTAGGTAATGCTGACACTTTAATTAAATTTACCTTCCCTGTAAGAGAGAATAATAATCCTTTTCAGTGCTTTAAGTCCGTAGGGATTTGATTAAGTAAAGACATACAAATGAGATCATATAATTGGTCCACTTCAGTAGTTAAATATTAAGTTGAGGTATTTAAGGGGGGAAAAAAAAGAAAAAAAAAAAAAAGAAAAAAAGGAGGGCTGCAGATGGAGCTAGTCCTTAGGAAGGGTGTTCTGAAGTTTCGTTCCTGAAGCTTTTAGCCTTCTCCAGTGTAAACCTCTGCTGAACAAGCATAAATGTAAAGCGCATGGCCTCTGAGAAACGACTGCAGAATATTTCTGGAGGAAGCAAGGAAAAAGCAAGACACTATTAATAGACATCACACCAGCTGCACTGGGGAACTGCCTCCTGTAGCCCCATTGCACTTAGTGGACTGCAGGGAGGAGCATGAGGTGACTGATAGTGCATTGGCAAAATGAACAGATGTGGGAAACCTCCTCTCCGCATTTCACACATCGTACTTCAAGAGGCAGCTTGGAAAACTTATCTTCTCTGCTCCCTCCAAAAGGTAACATGTAATCCCTCTTCTTTTTCTGCACGAGTTGCAAGGTGCAGGGGGAAGCTTCGAGCTCCTTGGATTATGCTCTCTTTCAGCCAACCATTCATATCAGTTAATTTAGCACCTCCTTTGCCTTTGTACTATAATGGCAATAACACAGCCACCTCCCAGGACACACACTGAGGTCCTGTGTGCAGATCTAATAATGCCAATTAATGAGTAGTTCTCCAATGTGCTTCCTGTGCAAGCAGAATTTGCTCTGTTGCTGTTTTGTAAATAAACTGCATGCACAAGCTCTGACAAATCATTCTGATTGTGTTTCATGCATCTAAGGGCATGAACAGAAACCCATATGTAAAAGACTTTTTCACTTAGAGCTCGGGATCTATAAATAAAGACATGTTGTTGAGGTGGAATGCTTTGTTTCTGCTTTCTAAGTAGGCTTTCACACACACCATGTGTTAGAGCTGACCATCTCAGTTCCCAGAAAGTCATGGGTTTAAGGAAGTACATAACATATCTAGACATCTTGCAGCAAGACAACTTTGCCAAATTCTGCTTTAGCAGATTCCCCATGTGTTCCTATGATATTCGCTGCCACACTAACTCCACTTATCTTTCTTGAGGTGGTGGAGTACCTTATCCCCTATGTATGAAACAGGGAATGAGGTACAAATAAATTCACCATCACATGAGATCTTGTGATGCTAGTGGGAATTAAAGTCAGATCTCCTGTCCCAAAGTAAGTAAAAATCATCTTATTTATCAAATTAGGTGAAGGTTGACTGCAGGGTATCTACCTGGCCATTAAAGATGCAAGGCAAAGATGAACACAGCAGAGAATTTATGGTTTCCTAGTAAAATCAGACTTACATTGCACAGGCAGACTCAAAAGCTACACTGAAATTCTACTAGAAGTCAGTGACAAAATTAACAGTATTTCCCTACTGACGTAACTTTATCCTTACTGTCTTTCTCTCCTTACAGTTTCTCACTTTCACATAAATCTCTACCACTATTTTCAACATAGAGAGCAGCCAGCCCTCACCTGCCCTTTTTACTGTCACAACCCTTCAAATTGCCTACCTCATACCTAACCTGCCTGCTGGGTTACATCCTCTTTATATGAGATGTATTTTAATCCAGCAAATCTTAGGACCTTAGAAGTGAAGTTGCTGGTGGTGGATTAGAACAAGTGACTTTCAAGGCCTGGGAGGCAAGAAACACATTCCCTAAAGTACTGGACTCCTAAAATGTTTTTGATTGATCTGACCATAGCACGTGAAGAAAGAGCACTTCTCTGTCTATGTAAATCACAGGGACCAGAATGAATTACCAGTCAGGGAACTGCTTGAAACATGGCCAAATGCCCTTTTTAAGTGGAAAAGGGTGTTTGTAAGGCATTACATGTTACAGTGATAAATATTCCATACTAATTGCTAGTGTTACAAATTAATTGTATTTTATGTAATCCTCACATATAAAAAAGTAGTTTTACATCTAAAAGTATATAAAGACATAAACTTCTGTGGACATTTCTTGGTCATACATGAAGAAATGTAAACATTGAAGTTATGAGAAATGTCCAAAACTAATTAAATAAAAATGTATGAGCATTAAGAGAGAAGACTTGTTTGTTTTTGAGCATGCCACATCATCTCCACGCAAAGCCTGCAGACCTGCCCATGAGGAGTTTCAGCAGTGCGGAGAAGCTGCTGAGCTGCAGTGCGGCATTAGGAACCTCTTCACAGGCAACTAACCCTTGCATGCCATGAGGGGCTCAAACCAGCACAAACAGAGGATACAGGCACAAAAGCTACACTGAATTCTCATACATTGGGGTTCCCACCTGTTCCATACTTAAGAGAAGAACATTTTAAAAGTAATCTTTGAGAATTCCAAAACTTGAGAACATAAAAGGGATATCAGGATCTCCTTTTCATAGTCTAAGTAGATCATAAGATACTAAGGAAGTATCTTATACTAAGGAAGATACTGACACAACATAAGGAAGAGAATGACACAATATATTTATTTTGCTATGGAAATTTCTAAAAAGAAGAAAAAAGCCTTGTCAGGTAACGACTCATAAATTCATCTTCAAAATACTAATTAATGTAGAAGTGTAGAATCTAGAAAATATTTTTTGTTATAATAAAAAAGTCCAATTCCATTATAGCCAACTTCTGTAAATGCTGTTCCTTCCATCAGTTTTGTAATTTTTAGCTGTTACAATGCAATATAATGAAGTATCATTAAAATTAAAAATAAAACATAAGATGGATGTGAAATCTTTAAGTGCATGCATAAATATAGCCTAAAATTAATACAGCATACCTTTAGTATTTTTATATAGAAAGAGGGTATTCTATTACTTAAATAATCTCAAGGCACCAGAATAACTAAAGTTTTTCCTCTGTGTGTGTGTGTGTGTGTGTGTATGTGTTTTAATTTAAAAAATTCTTGATATAGCAATGTCTTTTTATTGAGCAATTCCAGGATCATTCTTCTGCAAATATTCACCTTTTCTCCAACTCTTTATTCTATAGCTCCATGAGCAGAATTTAAGCTTTACACTCACTTTAAGCAGTAAAACGATGTGTTTAACTGAAAAGGGAATTTTTAATGTGAGAATAAAACAGACAATGCAGACAGAATACAGAAGGTTTAAAGACATGAAACATAAAATGAAATTGGAGAAAGGAAGCATAGCTAAACTAACTTTGTGAGCCATATATAACCTGGCCGGAATTACTGAATATTGACTCCAGAAAAAATGTGTTTCAAAACTGTATGAGTATAAAAACAGCATTTAAATTTTAGAGCCTAGCTAGGTGGCTAAGATTAGGAGGGCACAAGAAGTTGCTGGAATCCATCTCAGTCCCACCAGCACATAGGGAAAGAGCAGTCCCGCATGCAGAGCTTTGCTGAGGGAGATTCCTTGCACAAAGGGCCCCATTAGGCTGCACATGAAGGCTAAATGCTAGGCTGGAACAAAGGAAGTTTAAAAAAAAAAAAAAAAAAAAAGACAAAAACACCTTCCTTTCTTTTAGAAGTCATATTCAGTATTAAATACTACTATTGCTAAGAAATTATAAATTACCTTTGCAATTAACATACTTATTTAAAATTACAGTAAGGGCATATTCAGTACTTTTGTTGGCTGATTTTAATTAATATTATGGAAGTTAAATATTTCAAGATTCAGAGATTATTATATTAATTTTATCCTTAAATGCTATGAATTTCTCAAACCTTCTATCTCGATTACTCAAACTTATAACATTAAATTATTTGAAATATTTAAAATCCAGAGCATTTGAAAGTTATCAATTTTTTAAAAATGGGGAAAAGAGGTTTTTTTTAGATAAATTTCATATAGTTTAGATAAAGACTACTGTTACCGTATGGATCACAGATTTTTTTTTTCCCCCCAGTGTGAGTTTACCAACTGCTGTGAATATTAAGCTGGTATTGTAATGGAATATAGTGATATAATGAATGTGCAATTCTTCTCCTCGACTTTTCCAACTTAATCCTTGTGGAGATATGTTTGCTTAAAAATAGAACAATTCACAGAAGATCAATCCTTTTCAGAACTAAAGCT